GTCCCCACGCCTCTCTCGGGTGGAAGCGCGGGCGCGCGGGGGCGGCGCGCGGAGGACGGGGAGAACGCTTGGACGCCGAGCGCGGAGCAGACGGCCCGGGACGCGCGGCTCCGCGAGGTGAGCCCTCGGGCGGGGCGGGTCCTTCCTGCCTCGGAGGCCGAGCTGGAGGGGCACAAGGAGCGCGGTGCGCATGCGAGGTGGGCCCGGACTTCGGAGCGTGACAGTCCCACTCCCCAGCCTCCTCCTGTCCCTCCCCGACGCCTCGCCCCAGACTCTGGCGCTCCAGCACCCAGGCGCTCTGTCCTCGTGAAGGGCGCGGGCTCCCGGCCGCCCCTTCCGGACCGCCCTCGGGCCCTTGTCCCTCCGACGGCACCGGCTCTTCGGCCTCGCGCGTCTTGGTCCCGCACACCGGCCTCTGCAGGGCCGGAGCGGGGAGGACCCGGCCTCAGGTTAGCGCGGCGCGGCACTGGGTCCCGGGGCCTCCGTGTTTCGCAGTGTCCTCGGTTTTGGATGGGTGCTGGTGCACCGGGCCAGGGCTGGGGCTCCCTGGCGTCCTAACTGGCAGCCCAGCCCGGCCCACTGCATCTGGCCTCTCAGCGAGGCGTGGTCAGAGTCCCCAGGTCCTCCCTCAGATGGACCTGAGGAAAGGAATTTGGGGGGACCTGAACCCAGAGTTCCCAGCTGTGGACTGAGTTCTGGCTCCAGAACAGAGATGCGGTCCTGCCGAGCTCCTCAATTAACATTGGGGTCCCTTAACTTTCATGTGTCATCTTGAAAAGCTGAGAACTGGCTTTTGTTAAAGGAACCCAGGACCTTTAGAAACTTCTGCTACTAGGGCGGGAATTGTCGCTCTTGGGGAGATGATACTGCGGCTCACGCTCAGCTCTCCAGCGCACAGCCGGGCACACTCAGCCCCACCCGGGGCCTCTGGCCAGAGCTGAGGTCCGGGGTCCGACCAGCGAGGGTGTGAGGCAGCTGCCTCCGCGGCTCTGTTCCGTGGGGCACTTGGCGAGGACAGAATGAGAGGTGCAAGCATGAGGTTTGCAGTTAATCGTCAGTGAAAGATATAACTGCTGTCAGCAGCCCGACTAATCTGCGTTTTTTCTTTCCACAAGGTGAGGTTTTGGCCCCACACAGAAGTGCAGGTGCAGATGCAGCACCCCCCTTGGTGTTCACTGTGTGCACAGTGGGCAGGGGCAGCCAGGAATGCAGGGCGGACATTGGGCTGCACCGGGAGGTAGGAAGGGTGTCAGCTTGACATGTGGGCTCCAGTTCTGGGTGCCGCTGCCTGGCCTGCGCCTGCACAGGAGAGTGTGGGCAGGTCCATCCTAAGCACGGGCTGAGTCCAGGTGACCGGACGGAGCAGGCTAAACATCAACCCGGGAACTCCAGCGCATGCCGGTCTGGAGGGTCTTGGGTGGAAGGCACTGACCTGGAGCAGATGCTGAGAGCGCACTGAGGTGGGGAAAGGAAAACACCCCATGCCCACTCGCCCACCCCCTTTGTGGAGGATGGTGACCTCACCCCTGAGCTTTGGTTTGCTCAAGCGGAACTTGGTGATCTTACCATTAGTTCGTGTTATTTGGAGCTGACAATCTTCAAGGGCACCAAAGCTGGGGAAGACTTGGTTACCTATAAAACCCTGTCCACCTGAGTGTGATGGGCACTCAGCCAAGGTAGAGCCTCTATCTGGCTCCTCTTGAGTAGGCAGGCACTGCTCACCTAGCTGCAGTAGAAGGGGATTTATAACTTGCAGGCATGCGCTAGGAAGCACACTGAGAGGTTTGAATCATTCTCCTAGCTCAGCCTGGAGTTAAGATTGTGTGGACTTTGCTGGGGCCCTGGAGGAGGAAAAGACTGCTTTGAGAGCTTCCCACAATGTGTGTACGTACAGGCTAGGCTCTCCCCCTTTCTGTCCAGCCTCCTGTTCCAGCCTGGCCTCTGCCCAGACTGAGGCAAGTTGCACCAAGCATTGTTGTGTGGAAGAGATATTGAAAATGGGTTTGTGTGCCAGGGCATAGCTCAGAGGCACAAGCACCTGCCTGGCAAGTATGTGGTGATGAGTTTGATTTCTGGTACCAAAAAATAAATCTGTTCATTATTTTGGGAGGTCAGAATGCAAACTGAAAACTTTGGGAGGAATTTGTTCTTTTGATATTTTTCAAAACCTCCTTTTAAATTTAGAAGAATTTTCTTAGAAATTCTAACTTAATCATTCGTGCCAGGCTTGGGGACACTACAGATGAGGTGAACCATTGAGTACCTAGAATTTTCTGCTGTAGGGTTCTCCCCCACGTGGATTTCTAAGAAAAGATGTTTTTGCAGTAATCCCTGCAGATCAAGGGAAAATGCCATCTGGCACACGGGCACCAGCAGTCAGCAAAAGAAGTCAGTTCAGGAATTGGGCATTAGCGGGAGATTACTCTAAAGACAGGCCAGGCTGTAGGACTGGCCCGGTGAGCGGGGCTCTGTCGTCCTCCCTGGCCTTGAGCCTGGCTCAGGAAGGACTGTGAGGTAGGTGTTCTTTTTTTGGTCACCCATTGTGTAATCAGCTGACTTGAATATTTTATCAGTCATTCTGTGCAAGAAGCTTGTGGAAAGGAGATTGCGGTCCCTTAGCCATAAGTGTTAGTGTCTGCAGAGTTGGCCTGAACTCACTCTGGGTGCCCCCCCACTTTCTGGGTTCTGACTCCTGCAGCCAGTGTGAAATCTGGGAGTTTGGATTCCAGCAGCCTCTAAGGGGATGCTGGTGACTCAGGAGCAGCTGCACAGATGCAGGGGAATGTGTCCCTGTGTCCATTCTATCTGCTCACATCTACCACTCCCTGATCAGGTGTCTGAACAAATCCAAAGCCAGCTGCACCTTTTTGGAACCGACTTTTCCACTGTTGATGTTTTCCTTTGATACATAAAATAGAGACTCAGATTAGATTTTTTTCCATAAATTATTGAGAAACAAATAGCAATGAGACAGTTTCAAACCAAACTGGTAGGACCTTTTCAATAATTAACACATTGTATACATTCTACCTAGTGGTTAATTGCTGTACAAGATGCAGACATGATATCCTACTTACAAACACCATTAGAACAAATCTCTCTATTCATTAAGAGAATGTAACTGTATATTGATCCTAGCCATTTGAATACACAGATACAAAATGGACATTCATCTGCATTCCCTTTTTGTTGTTAAGTTCC